TAGGTAATTCATTTTAATATTTAAAAATATAAAATATGATGTGTATTAGTGTATTACTAATTTGCCATTAAAAATATGTCAAAGTAAGGGTTTTTTAGGTAGTTCATATTTTTACAAAAACACTCGTCCTTTTAGAGTAGTATAGATAGATAGATAGATAAATAGATAGATAGATATAGATATAGATATAGATATAGATAGATAGATAGATAGATAGATGGATGTGCAACTATTTAAAATCCTTAAGAATTTCTGCTCCGAATCTAACTTCACTTATGCTGTATAAAATAGAAGGCCTATTGCTTGAGGATGTTCCAATGCTTACTAGTGTTAATGTGACATTTGCGGACTCTTGGCCTTCTTCTATGTATGTAGAGAGATTAATTCCTACATTGCTTTGCTGTCTTTCCCAATTGGAGATTCTCACCTTTGATATTTGTCGTAAAAGGGTAAGGTGTCTTTCTACATTGGTCTAATTTTCACTTAATGTGATTGTAAAGTACATATAAAACTTGATAATGGAGCCCTATTGTTGATTTGACAATCATCACGTGGTTAAATTTGGTGGGTCATATAATACACAAATGATTGTCAAATCACCAGTACTAACATGAAATTATTTGGAAAATAATATTTATTGGAAGTTTCTTTTTTTTTTTTTAAATAAAAATAAAGAAAAAAACTTTATTTATTTGATATTACAGGAGCTTCTATCGATGCTCAAATTCCCCATGATGCCTAAACTTAAGAAGTTGGTCATCATTGAAGCTTTACGTGGTGTGGACTCGAGTCTTCTTGGCCTATCTCATTTTATCAGTGCATCTCCCATCCTGCGAGAATTCGAGATACAGGTTACAATTGTAGTTTACAACATTGGTTGACAACTTGGTTAAAAGTATCATTAACTCAAATCTCAAACATACATTTATTTGCATACATGTACAATTGTAGTTTACAACTTAGGACAATACTACATGTACAATTGTAGTTTACAACATTGGTTGACAATTTAGTTAAAAGTATCGTTAACTCAAATCTCAAACATACATTTATTTGCATCTCAACCACCCACATCATGCCACATCATATTGTCATTGAATGTTGTACAAAAAAAGTTGTACAAATAGCTTTTTCCTTGTAAATATTATCCCTACAATCTCGTCATCATTGAATGGCTTTACTACCTGTATTTGTCGTCTTATATTATTTATAGGTGTTAACTTAGTATATGAATTTATTTTATTTTTCACTTGGTATGGGCAGCAAAGGTGGTTTAAAGCTGAAAGGTCAAACAATGAAATTCAGAAGGGATTGAAGCACTTCCCACTGCACCAGCATCTGAATGCTTTTCGTTTTTTAGGTTATTATGCTTGCCCGAGTGACGTTGAATTAGTCAACTACTTGTTGGAGAACTGTGTCGCGCTTAAGGAAATCATTGTTGATACCCAAACTCAGCTACGCGAGGCCTACGAACCACTTGATTCTGAACAATTAAAATTGGCTGAAATAGCAAAGGGTTACGCCAAACAGCAGCTGGAGCCGCTTGTACCTAACCACATTAGGTTATTTATATGCTAACCATTTTTGTGTTTGGTTTCGTGTTTAATACTCTATGGTTGATTCTACATCGTTGTTGATTGAAAGTACACTCTCTTCCAACCAACCGATCGATCCTTTCGATACTCCCTTACCAATGATGGAGATTGTATATCGTGAATTCGAAAGTGCGAAAACCCGTAGTGATTGTCGTCAATTAACACAAGATTTGGTTCTTGAACAATCCAAAAAGAAGAACAACAAAGTTTTAAAGAGAGGAAAATACATAAATTGCAAATAAGGTTACAGGAATCTCCAATATATTGGCAAGTTTCAATAATTTTTATTCATCTAGCAATTAATATTAATTGTAGTTCATTTAATAAGAATAGGTGTTCATAGATATTAAATAAATTTTTTCCACAGGCTCTGTCCGTTTAAGTCTGAGAAGGGTTATTATCCATTTCCCACCTATTTTAATCACCGTTAAGTCTCGTTTAAGTTTGAAAAGAGTTATCATCTATTTTCCACCTCTTTTAATCACCGCTAAGTCTATAAAAATAGGGTTGTAATCTATTTTTCACATCTTTTAATCAGTGTTGTTTTATTAGTCAGAACATTAAACGTGAGCATATTAGTGCTAACTTGTAAAATAATTAATATATTATCTCACTAAAACATTTATACTAATATAAATTTAATTTTATTATATATATTTATTCCTTGATATAAGAGAAAATAACAATTATACTTATTCTTATTCACTATATAATAGTTAATTATTAAACTCTGTTGCCATATAATATCATTATAATTTATAAAGTTATACAAGTTGCACGTCTTCTTGTTCTTTTTATTTTATGCAATGAAATATATTTAATGCACGTTGGTATTATTTATATAAGTAATCAATTTAAAATATGTAAATAAATTTAAAATTAAATAGTGTATAAATAATGTACAAAATATACACATATATTTTTTTAGAATTTAATTTTGTAGACTAATTAAACAACTTTGATTTAAGAAAAGCCATGAACTCAATCTCTTCTAATATCAATATTTTTCTAATTTGCATTGTAATGATTATTCTTATTATATATATAGATTAGAATTTTTGCGACACCAACCAAACTAAATATCACAACAACCAAGTAATAATTATGAAAAAACCCATAACACAACAACTATCAATTAAATTTGGTAATAGAAAAATTACATACATATATATAAAAATATGTGGATTCTATATTTATATTAACTGATGTATACACCACGTGTATATTTTGTTAAGGTATATTGGAATGTTCAATTTCATAGCTTGATAACAATCAGTCTTAAAAAATCGAAAATCTTATTTTTTTTTTTCCGGAACGATAGAGGTAATATATAAAAGCACAAAAAGTGCAAAAAGTACAAAATACAAGACCCCAATAGGGTAATACCTAAGACCCCAACAGGGTAATGAGACAGGGGCCACCAGCCCAAACCAAAAACACTCCTAAAAACCACATAAATATCAAACTGAGAGGACACGCACATGGCGGCCTAGAGAACTCAACAAAAAGAAAAAAAGGAAAATGAAACACAGAGCCACTGCACAATGCCTAGCCTGAATTCATCTCCCAAACAAAAGCAAACGAACACACTAACCAAGACTCGACAAAACCACACAAAGAACACTGAAACAAACAAACAAACACTGAAATGACAATTAGAAAGCCCCTCCCCAATCGGTATAACACGCCAAGCACAACAATGGCCGAGTGACCCAAAATCCCGACCCAGAAACTGCAAGAGAGCGCCTAACTGAGTCAGGAAACATCGGGCACAACCCTTGTCCATACGAACAAACTCCACTAGCACCCGGAGACCAAAACGCACCATCCAAAGCAGTCATCAACAATGGTCCGAACCTCGAACAAATTTGACCGGCCCCGTAGGCGCCGACCAACATCCGGAACCAGGCTAGTCGACAATAAACCGACACCCCAAACCGACACCCCCCTGCCTTTCAGCAGCATAATCGAGCACCAAATTAGGGACATCAACCACGAAATCGACAGCCGAAACCAGAGCCACCCTGCGACCGATACCTGAGCCGACCAAAGCCCCAAACCAGAGTCAACAACCGCGACTTCGATCAGCCTTGAAGTACAAAATGGACGAACAAGTCTCCACCCCAAACCCTAGATTGGGAAATCGGGGCCGCAGCCCTCTCCGGAAGAGCGTCCGAGGCCGCCGCGGCGGAGATACCGGAGGAGGAATAGTCGCCCGCCATTAGCTGCCAGTTCCGAGGCGAGAACCAGAAGCGCGGCGCGACCTCCTTCCCGGCGAAAAAGCACCCTCCGATCAGAGCATCTTCACAGAAAAGGGCCGCGAAGTCCAGGGGAGCGACCACCGTGAGCTCGCCGGCCCAACCGGGGAAGACGATGGAATAATCACAGAAAAACGGCGAGGGGATTAGGGATTTTCGGGGATAAGGGTTTTCTTATCGGGAGAGAGAAAATCTTATTGAAATGCCATATTTTTCTGTTAAAAAAAAAGTTCTCATAAAAAATAATTATATCATAGCAAATTCATTGTGTAATTGAACAAATTTCTATAATGAAGCCCGATTTTCTGTACAAAAATAAAGCAACAACTTCCACATTTTAAGAAAATCAATTAATGTTGGTCCGTTTTTGCTAAGAAAATAATAAATAAATAAATTTTAATTAATGGAAAGTAATTAATGATGAGAGAATTTGACCATATCTGTTTTTAAAAAACGTAACAGAAAAACAAATATTAAATAAAACTGTATAATACGGAAATAGTAATGACAATAAATGCTGTTGACTTTTCTAACTACTAAATTTGGTAAATAAGACTCCCTTAAATATAAGTATAGATGTGTTTACCATTTAATAAAAAAATTGTAACTTCTAGTTACACGATTTACTTTGACATTTCTCATTTTGGATGGTACACATTTTTGTAACGTTTTTTTATGTCTTGAAATACAAAATATTTTTATTTTTATTTTGATATTATATAAATTCATATTTGACAACCAATTAAGAATAACTACAAATATCTCTATTTTCTTTTGCAGTCATACAATAATAAAAAATATTTTTTTGGTATTATAAAGATATATCAAGTATTTTGAAAAATCAAATCACATGAAAAAAAAACCATCATGCAAAATGGTCCTGCAATACACATATTAGTAAATACATAAAAATAAAATATTTTATTTATAAATATTTTAACTTATAATTTGAATATATATATATAAATAATTTATAATATTTTATTTATATATGTGCAAATATAATATTAGTAATTAAATAAAATATTATAGTTACTAGGGTCTTGTCAGGCTTTCTTGCGACGGACATTGTGGGCCAACCCAAGCGGGCCACGGGCTAGGGCGGGTGGCCCGTCAATTATTAAAAATAAAAACTAAAGAAAAAGTATATAAAATACCAAATTACCCCAACTCCTCATTCTCATTCCCTAATCGCCCAAACTCCACCAAACCAAAAATTGCTCCGCCCGTTCTCCTCCCTGTGCCCTCGTCGTGTGCCGCCGTCGGACACTCACTCGCCGGACCCCGCGCTAATCTCAGTCGCTTCCCGCCTCCACAACTCTCAGTTTCTCAGTCGCCGGCCCTTTGCCATTTTGAACGGGTTCATCGCGGCGGGATTTCAGACTTATCTATGCCACACCGCGCCTTTTCCATTTTAGACGACTCGAAGGTTTACATTCCTCTCGTAGACTAGTTTACCGGCAGCTTGCAAGGTACTCGGTGACTTGTGACTTTCACACTCCTTCCTATGGTCTCTGACATGTGTTATCTGAACACTTTGTATTTTGATGATTTTTCTGTTCTATTATGGTTATTGATGGATGACAGAAGATTATTTTAGGAGGTTTTGCAAATTTGACCTAGAAATTGGATTTGTTAAATTTCAGTCTCATGTATAACTGATTCTGGAATTAGATCTGGTTTTGGAAGGTTAATTGCCTATCCATATTGTTGGTTGATGGTGGGACTCCTAAATAAATAGATGTTGCGTGTGATTTTGCGGTAGAATTGGTTGTGATTTCGCTTCAAGTTAGCTTTGGAATATGATTTGACTGGGACTTGTTAATTCTAATGTGAGCCTGAGAATTCCCTGCACTTGTAAAGTTTTGAATTCTAATGTGAGTCTGTGACTTGGCTATGAATTCTAATGTGATTGTAAGGTTGTAACTTGTGCATTTGGTTGTGACTTATTAATATATGAAGCACAGCCGCAATCCCCTAGTTTTCTTTTTCTTCTTTTGAAGTTTCACAATCTAGATCTTCTCTAAGTAAACTAACCTCTATACTGCTTCTGCTACCTTTTCTTTTATGGTTTTCAGTCGACTTTGATGATCGTTTTTACAGAAAACTAGGCTTTTCTCTTCAGTGGATAAAGGCACAGATCACTGTTTTTTAATTCCTTTCTTTGGCTGGGACCGAATTCATCGGGCAACTGATACCAAAAATCAGCCATTTCAAAAGGAGCAAGCCAATCCTCTGCTTTAGGGTAACAAAGCTGTTTACAAATTCAAAGATGGAGATAAATCTCTTTTGCAGCGAAAAGGGCTTGCAAGAGGTAACTTTAAGAATTAACAGTTTTTATATTTTGGACTTCTTTTCTTTTTCCTTTATCCATTTTTTTTAATTATTTTAGATTTTGTTAATACAATTTATCCAGCCTGCCGGAATTGTGTGAGTTCTACTTATATGTTTATTATCAGCTGAGTTGCTCATATGAATTTCACAAGTTTATAGATTTCATACTTTTGAAAAGAATAAAATAAGATTGATAATTCATATTGACTCTGTATAATAACTATAATTCAAAATTATAAATTGTTCAGAAACTCGTTTGTATTTGGATAGCTTCTCAACTGAATATGGAAGATTGCTTTAATTAATTGACTTTTGTCTAAAGTCTAATTGTGTAATGATGCCATGTTTGCAGTTTTTTAGTTTAAACCCTACAATAGCGTACAGTTTATTCAAGAGTGCATCCAACACAATAGTTTAAGTTTATTTTTGGGAATACTCTATCATGAGAAAATTTTATGAATAGATTGGAACTTTATTCTATCTTGATAAAAAGAAAAAAAAATGATTTTGGGATTTCATTTCTTGATTAAGAGAAAAAAAATAACTCAACTTTATTACAAATTTCAAAACATGGAGATTTTATATAGTAGAAGAGTGGGTGTGTGTGTATCGCTAGAGAGATGATGCAAAATATCGCTCCAGTGCTGGGCGTGCTTATATTGTATAAATATTTTTAGAGATGTATTTAATTATTTATTTGGTTAAATAATTTTATAAATAAACCTTAAATTAAATTATATCATGATTACTTGAATAATTAAACATGTGTAAAATAATGTATTGATCTAAATTATATTTTGATATTATCATGAGAATAAAATGATATCAAGTTTCGTATTTTATTCTACTTATTTTTAAATTTATTTTATTGTCAAATATCATTTAATTATATATATGATGTAACTATTAAAACTAGGCATCAGTTATCCAAAAAGATTTAGTTATAATTAGAAATTGAATTATGCAAATTTTTGTAATAAAATTACGGGTAAATAATTTTTTCCACCCTGTACTATACATGCTTTTGGATTTAGCAACCACAGTATTTTTCAACTTGAACTTCATGAACATTTAAACTTGCCTACATCTTGACCATATATGTGTCCATTTTTGCGGATGATCGTGTGGTCAAGAAGTAGGCGATTGTGCAAATTATGAATGTTAATGAAGTTCAAGTTGCATTTTACAATGCTTAAACTAATTGATAAATAATTCATACATATCCATTATATTTGATTATGTATTATTTTTATTTTTATTAAAAATACTTTCAAATCTATTAAAATTTATTAAAAAAAAAATCTGGTTCAACCTGCCGGTCCTACCGGTTACCGTTTCATTGGCAACCATTTCATTCCAACAAATTGAATTGTTCGACAGACCTATTCTTGGTCCAACCAGTCCTTGGTGTGAAAAATCACGTGCAACTTGTTATTGTGTGTTTGCTTGACAGTGTGTTGAGAGATACCATGGTGATAATCTTATAAGTCAATTACCCGATGACATTCTCCTTATTATCCTATCTTTCCTCCCATTGAAAGAAGCTGGGCGAACAAGTGTTCTTTCTTCTCGTTGGAGAAACCTGTGGAGTTACATCTTACATCTCAACTTTGATGACTATAGCTCGATGGAGAAGGTTATGCTGGATCCAACATTTCACAGTGTCAGTGTTGAGAGGGAAAAGTATGTAAAGTGGGTGGATTCGGTTCTCCAATTACACCGAGGGTCTACCGTGAAAGAATTAAGAATATGCTTTAGTTTAGTCAAATCAGCCACAAAGTCAATTACGAAGTGGCTTGAGTTTGCTTTTGAGAGGCACACTGAAAAATTGGAGTTGAACCTTTCAGATGGTGACTGTGGTCATCCCCCAGATGAAACGTACGTGTTTCCTCAAGAGATATGCAGTTCAGACCGTCTTTTCAACTTTAAGCCCATAAAAATGTTGTTCTTGGGCAGTGTTCAAGTCTCTGGTGAAACTATTGAGTTTCTCTTACGTGGCTGCCCATTGCTCGAGCAGTTAATTGTCCGTTCCTCCGATTATTTGACACGTCTTGAAGTTTGTGGACCATCCCTTGTATTAAAGCATTTGGAGATATGGATGTGCAATTTAAAATCCTTAAGAATTTCTGCTCCGAAACTAACTTCACTTATACTTTATAAAATAGAAGGCCTCTTGCTTGAGGACGTTCCAATGCTTACTAGTGTTCATGTGACATTTGCGGACACTCGGCCTTCTACTTCAGAGAGATTAATTTCTACATTGCTTTGCTGTCTTTCCCAATTGGAGATTCTCACCTTGAACATTTGTTGTAAGAGGGTAAGTTGTCTTTCTGCATTGGTTTAATTTTCACTTAATGGAGCCTTGTGATTGTAAAGTAAATATGAAACTTGATAATGGAGCCCTATTGTTGATTTGACAATCATCACGTGGTTAAATTTTGTGGGTCATATAATACACAAATGATTGTCAAATCAATTATTTTGAACTTCATTTAATTGTTAATGCAGGAGCTTTTATGGATGCTCAAATTCCCCATGATGCCTAAACTTAAGAAGTTGGTCATCATTGAAGGTTTAAGTGGTGTGGACTCGAGTCTTCTTGGCCTAGCTAATTTTATCAGTGCATCGCCCAACCTGCAAGAATTTGAGATACAGGTTGGTCTTTGTAAATATTATTCATGCTATCTCATCATCATTGAATGGCTTTACTACCTGTATTTGTTGTCTTATATTATTTATAGGTGTTAACTTAGTATATGAACTTAATTTATTTTTCACTTGTATATATGCAGCAAAGGTGGTTTAAAGCTGAAAGGTCAAACAACGAAATTCAGAAGGGATTTAAACACTTCCCACTGCACCAGCACCTGAATGTTTTTCGGTTTTTAGGTTATTATGCTTGCCCGAGTGATTTTGAATTAGTCAACTACTTGTTGGAGAACTGTGTCGCGCTTAAGCAAATCTTTGTTGATACCCAAACTCAGCTACGTGGGGGCTACGATCCTTTTCTTCCTGAAGAAATAGAATTGGCTGAAATAGCAAAGGGTTACGCAAAACAGCAGCTGGAGCAGTTAGTACCTAACCACATTAGCTTATTTATATGCTAACCATTTCTGTGTTTGGTTTCGTGTTTAGTACTAAGTACTGTATGGTAAAGATTATCGCATAATGGCAAAGGTAGTTAGAATTCGGAGGGGTCGGCATTGTGCCATTATGTTTGATATCAAAGAAGTTTCAAATCTAAAGTATTCGGGTTCAATTTTGAAATAACAGTAAACATGAAGGGGATAACAGTAATACTTTTCTGTAAAGGGGTCTTTGGGGCTAAGTTCTGTAATCATCTGATTTTTATTTTTTATTTTTTATTTTTTATTTTTGAAGTAAACAAGAGATATCACATTTCATTATCAAATTGATTACATAACTTGTAGGGACTATTGTCTTTCAATCCATTTTGCTGCTTTAAAATCTCTGTAAATGATTGAAAGACAGATGCATGTGATCTCTCATGTGTTTGTGTTTTTCTCATGTTATCAAGTGGCAAAAAAAAAATAAAAAAAAATAAAATCAAAGTAATATACAGCAATACACAATGTTTATTATTTGATCTAACCTCTCGCTTGAGTTATGTGGAGTTGAAGAGGAATTCGGGTTTAATCATCCGATGGGTGGCCTCACAATTTCTTGCAGCGAGGATTTATTAGTTGATATAATCTCTCGCTTGAGGTAAGTCGATGCTGTTTATATAAGGATATGTAGCTTTGTACATTAGTGTTTTCTTTTTTTGCTTTTGTTGTTCTTGTCGAGACAAAGGATGCTTTTGTCACGGAAAATTGTATCCTCGGACAAAATTACAGTCAATGAATACATGAAAAATTTACAAAGCCATTTTATGGTGCAAAAAACTATATAATCTTTGTTTTTGGAATATCAGTAAAAATTATCAATGGACTTACATAATTAAAATGCATTTTCTGTTCTAGTTTTGTTACCATTTTTCTGTTAAGTGTTAACTTGGTAAGTCTTAAACTTTTGTAAGCTATGTCGAATGAGTAATTATATATTTATTTGTTTTATGACAGATCATATTCTATAATCGGAGGAGAAATACATGTGAATTCTCACAGTACTTTCAATAAAACTTTCCATTTCTACTCACAAGAGATTCTTTTTGATTTAGTTATTGTCTACGTAAATATGGCCATCCGTCGAATGCTAAGCCGATCTTTATCAAGCAAAAAAAGATCAGCTGAAGTCCCAAAGGGCCATTTTGCTGTTTATGTTGGGGAAAATGAGATAAAGAAATTGTTAATTCCGGTTTTGTATTTGAACAATCTTTTATTTCAAGAACTGCTACTCCAAGCTGAAGAAGAATTCGGGATTTATCATCCAATGGGAGTCCTTACAATTCTTTGCAGTGAGGATTTTTAGGAACACAGTTTTGTAAATTAGTGTCTGCAACAAATTACATTCGATGGATTACATTAGATGGATATATTATTACAAGAAACATTAGTGAGCCAATTTTTGTGGAAGGCCTTTTCTTGTTTAGTTGACTGTGAACTCAGCAGTTCGGATATCATATGGTTCTCTTTTGCTTATTACTGATAATTATCTATAGTTTTAATATAAAGTACAATACTCAGTAAATGATTTTTGTCGATTAAACCACCTCTCAAGTGCTTTCATAAGCCATATTGAACAAAGCCGAATTACCTATTGTCATTAAAACCATGCAAAATACACATGCATGGCTCTTAGAGCTCACACATTCACTTGAAAGTTACCAAATTTTGTTCAAGAAAAAAATTCCTCTGCTTTGCCATTCAAATTAACAAAATTCTACACCGATTGCCATATTTATATAGTACAGCTTGAATTAACATCACTTGTGATATGCATAGTGTACTTGTTTCTGCCAGTGAAGAATAACAAAGTAAATCATTCGAGAAAAATGGCACTGTGTATACTAAAATCTTCAGAGCTAATATGACACTTAGTTTATCCAGGAATTAATACAATTTGTATCCGACAGATTATCTTCTACACTTTGTAAGAAAAAACGATCGCCTGTCCTGAAACTAAAAGCTAATAAGAAAGTGCTTTTACTGCTCTAAGACCTATTTAATCTCATCTTCCTCAACTGCGATGTAAGATCAATGAACAAATCTTGACTGCACGGAATAGATAGGCCTCCCATTGGATGATCGAAACCAAATTCTTCTTCGGCTTGAAAAAGCAACTCTTGAAACGAAGGATGGTTCAAATACGAAACCGGGATAACAAATCTCTTCTTTTCATTTTCCCCGACATAAACAGCAAAATGTCCTTTTGGGACTTCGACTACTTTTTCGTTCGATATTTTCTGAGATGATAAAGAGCGTCTAAGAATGCGTTGAATGGCCATGGATTTGTTAAATGTGGTAAACTAAAGCTGAAAATGAGAGTACAGGAATGAGTATGTGGAATCTTTTTGTGAAACAGATGAAAGGATTTGTTGTTAGTGTTGTTTGTGAGCTTAGAAATATGTTTTGTGTGTCTGTGTGTATATATAGATGACCTTGTGAGTATCATAATCCTTTAGCATATAGATTGAGTGGTTGTGGATGCAAAATGATATGTGGCTGTAATTATTTTTCTTTTTTCTTTTTTCTCTTTTGATAAACAAAATCACATGAAGTATCACATGCAC